TGGAGCAACAATGGCTCCACCTGGCCGCCTGGCACTTGAGCGGAGACTCCTGAAAGGTGGGAATCTCTCTGCCAAGGTCATCGAGACAATACAAGCCACGAGACATCCAACCACAATCTGATTTATAACACCACTTGCAAGATCTTCTGCAGGTGGTGTGACAAAAAGACAATAGATCCCACCTCAGTGGTAGTGGCAGATATACTGAAGTTCCTACAAGAGGGATTAGACAATGGCCTCTCCCCTAATACACTGCATAGGTAGGTAGCGGCCATAGCCTCAGGCCTCTCCTGCAGTGACTTACAATCTCTCACTCATCATCCGACAGTATGCAGTTTCCTACGGGGGACCACTAACTTAAGACCTCCCATGGTCCATAGATACCCCACTCGGGATTTTAATAAGGTCCTCACAACACTCACCAAACTACCCTTTGAACCCTTGAGAACTACCAGTCTCCACCTTCTAACTTACAAGGTGGTTTTCCTGGTGGCTATAACCTCCGCCAGGAGAATATCTGAGCTAGCTGCTCTCTCAGTGAGAGAAGACCTTTGTGTCTTTCACTCAGATAGGGTGGTTCTTCGCCTAGACCCGACTTTCCGACCCGAGCACAGGAGTTGATTCTTCACAACTTCTGCCCTAGACCGACTCGTGCATTAGAGAGATAATGGATTTCCTTGATGTGCCTAGGGCCCTCCACATTTATATCAATAGGACTGCTGCCCACAAGAAGATAGAAGCCCTCTTCATCTTGTTTCAGCCCTCCACCTTGGGGAGGAAAGTCACAGCTTCAATGATGGGCAGGTGGCTTAGAGCTACCATTGCAAAGACACATGAACTCCAGAAATCACCAGTAACCACAGGAATCACGGCACATTCCACCAGGAGTGCAGCCACATCAGTGGCTTGGGCGACACAAGCCTCTATCGCAGAAATTTGCAGGGCGGTGACATGGTCATCACCATTGCCTTTCATATGACATTACAAACTGGACGTTTTTGCATCAGGAAGCTGCTTTCGGCAGACATGTCCTGCAAAGGTTTCACACAATAAGGGAGACAGGGACCAAACCAGACAGGGACCCTCCTGTAAGGACACGCCAGCTTGGGTATGTCCCTGACCTGGATGCTGGGAACACCTCTGTGGAGAAGGGGCGTTGGTCCTTATCTGATATGCCCATTCTCTGGGAGCTGTGACGAGCATCCAGCTCCACCCAGAAGATTGTCTGGTTCTGGGTCTGATTCTGGTCAAGCATGATGAGCAACGAAGAATACAATGGAGTAATCTACAGCTTCAACTTTGCTTAACTGGGGACAAATGGGAAGGGTGTGTGTCCTCAGAACTTTGCTCAGCCTATTGGACGACAGATGGAAGCACTACCCTGACCTGGATGCTCATCACACCTCCCAGAGAATGGGTGTATCAGGTAAGGACCAATGCCCCATCTCTACCTCTTTCCCAAGAGAGGAATAGCTCAGACACATTTAAATTGGGTGGTTGGTTAAAGGGAATTATATTATAGCATTAATTCACTTGCAGAATTTAAGCAATGATGTTTGCAGAATTGGCCATCCATACATTACATGCTTCTCCTACAGATACTTTATTCATTTCTTTTTTCTTTAACAATGAACTTCATTATTGTCAGCGTTCCAGCAAACCTCTATTCCAATCAGTAACTCTGAGACAACCTTATCTCAAAAGTACCTTTATTAGAATAGCAACTGGCACACCTGTGGAATCCTGAATCTAAAGGTTTTCGGGCTTCCCACAATTTCCCAAACTACAAATCCACCCACCCCCCTTGGCCGTCATCACAGCACATGGCCCAATCATGATCCGTCCAAAAGTAAGATCCTGTGCCATACTTAATGACCTTGAACTAACAATAGAATTTTATTTTGTCTACTTAGAGCTACTCAATTGAAATCACCCCCCTCCCACTTTCTCAGGCTACGTGGCAGTGTGGAACATGGCTTCTAAAACTGACAATTATTGGCTGTTGTATTTTTATGCAAGGCACTAAAAAGTTAATTAATAGAAAATGGATTTATGAATGTGGTTATTATGTTGAATAGAAAACTACCAAACAGAATGTTTAATATATATTCATATTTTATCTTTTGTATATTCATGTGTATAATTCTGTAAATATACTGAAAGGAAAAATTCTTCCATGGTGAAACTGTTGGTTTTAGCTTTTTTTTTTCTTTGTTATTTTGTTTGTAACAATAACAAAGTATTTTGGGAAGTGACATGGTCACTTCCAGAACAAAACATACTGTGTAGCTCGGATTTCAAGAAATGGTCTATATATTATATAATGTCTACACTGGGAAACTCACAGGAAATATTTTTCTGCAACAGTTTTATCCAAACAAATTTAAACTTCTCTTTTAGGGCGTTTTTATTGAAGATTTTGTACCTCTCTGAAAGTAGCTTCAATGTTCTATTTTAGCATTACATGCACTGTGCATCTAGGTAAACTTATTTGGGGTACAGATGAGACACTAGACACTTCTGTTTTTAGCCATGAAACAGTGGAACTCCTTGGGGCTTCCCATTCAGAAAAACACTTCCTCAGCCATAAGTGTTCTGATGGTTCTTTAATAAACCTTTATCAGCAAATCTAATTTTAATTTTTTTAGTCAGTTTTAATATAACTGGACAATGCTTTGGATCCAATTCTAAATAGTGTTTGTAAATGCTTGGAAACCTGAGAATAAATATGGTTATTTTTAATGAATCATAAATAAGTGATTTATTAAAATAACCATATTTATTATAAGATATTCTGCTAGAGCAAGGGTGTCAAGCTCACGTCACAGCGGCATCATGTGACGTATCAGGACTTTTTTCCCCTTTGTTAAACCAGGCAGGGGCGGGGCCAGCATGTGACGCATCTGGCCTGTGGGCCGCGAGTTTGACACTCCTGTGCTAGAGAGACATTCCTTGAGGAAGGGCTCCAACACAAGTCCGAAAGCTCAGAAAATCTCTGGTCTTTGTGACCAACTCAGATTGGATTCTGCAAATAAGTGTTTTGTTTATACTTCAGTGTATTCAGAAATAGCTCTTTCAGATCACATCCAAACCATTGCACATTCTTAGTTTTAGTTAGCTTCATAATCTGTATATAATGTTTGATTTGAACAAGTCCCATCTTAATCCTAGCAGTCATTTGTTAGGCATTTTAATGATCACTATAACAACTATTCTGCTTGTATCAGTAGCAAGCACTAAGTACTTGCCTACAACCTTTGATGTTGCTGTTAAATTTGGGTTTTGTGGTTCCAGCACTTTAATTGGGAATTTATATGCAGGAAAAATGATATTTCCATGATCAGTTAGTTCAGATTTGGGGGGAATAGCGAAATATACAGAACAAGTATTGGAAATATGATAAAAGGAATAACCCCATATATATTCCTTTCCAACAGTAAACAAGTTCAGATCAGCTACAAGTTTGAATATAATTTGTGGAAATAAATTCCTCTTAAATGATAATTATAGTGTGTGTACGTGCATGTGTGTAGGTTGTTGTGTAAATCAGATGATTCTTCCAATTATACTTATTTTTTCAAGTTGAGCTTGGTAAATGGAGCCTAGTGCTATCTTTTCTTCTTGAAAATGAAAATTTAGCAAAAAAAGTGTCTGGAGCCCAAAAGTTATTAACTTTTTATTTATTTTCTTAAAAGTATAAATGTCTCTTGAGTGTTAATTCTGTGTGCACTTTGTGCTTGCACTAAAAAATAAAATATTTCTGGCAAAGATTTTCAAGAGCTGCTGCGTACTGCTTATTCTTCTGTTGTGCTTCAGTGCATTTATCTGCTCCCAAGTTGTTTGCACAATTTTACTCTACCCAAGGGTTTTGTATCAAAATAATTGCTTTATTTTGCAAGCTAAAAGTGTAGAGCTTTCCTTGGATTCAAACAGTGTTATTTTCAGGATATATTTCAAATTAAGATGATTTCATCCCTTGGTTACCTTGTATCTTGGCTTCTGTTTATCAACTTACTGTATGTATGTAAATGTAAAATTCATTTTTGTTAAGTATCTGTTTCTGTATAGTATTTAACTTCTTGTAATCTTCATAGAAACAACAGTATGATTAAAATAATTGCCTTATGTTGCAAGCACAAGGGGCACAGCCTTTCCTTGGGTGCAAATGGTATTATTTGTAGGTTATACAGTATTTTAAATTAAGCTTATTTTATTTCCTTGCCTACTTTGTATCTTGGCTTCTGTTTGTTAACATATTTTGAAATATAAAATTCATCTTGATAAAGTATCTTTCTGTACTGTATTTTTAATCTTCATAGAAGCATTAAATTGTATTTTTAAATAGAAAGGGGTTTTACTGTAAACTGTGATTTGGATGCAGAAAATTGCAAGCAATATTCTATTCACAAATTACCTGTTGCATCCCACTGTTTCTCTTCCTCTAAAGTGTTTTTATGCTTGAAAGAACCTTTAGAATCGCATTTGATGATTTTGAAGAGGGAGAAATACAGTTGCAATATACTTGAAATTCAAATACATGCATCTTGTCACAAACTCATTGAATTGGGAGGAGAGGCATCTCCTTCGTCCTATTCTAGATGAGTTGACAGTTAATATCATATGATTTATATGTCAGCTGTTTAACCTTTGTCCACTGTACACTTTAACAGATCATGCTATAAGTGTGTGAGAAAATAGGATATATCAATGCCTTTGCTTCAGAATTCAGTTGGATATTGAAAAAGTACATTTATGCTAACATGTTAAAATAATTTATTTGTTAGAGAAAATTGCATTTCTGGAGAAGGAAAAGTATAGTCCTCTTGTTCACTTGTCCTACTGTTCTCAACATTTGTTAAAAGAATTATTAACTTGACCTTTGCATATTTTTGCTAATCTTACAATAATTTGTGGTGAATGGAATAAGTGTTAAATGACTGCATTGTTTAGTGACAATTTTGTAACAGTCCTTTTTTTGTTTTGTTTTGTTTTTTTCCTAGGACCGGAATCGGCCCTATGATACTTTTAACTTGCACTCTTTGGAAAACTCATTAATGGATATGATAAGGACTGATCATGAACCTCTTAAAGGTAAACACTACCCTCCCAGTGGCCCACCAATGAGTTTCGCTGATATAATGTGGAGGAATCATTTTACAGGTTAGGAATATTCATATGTTCATACTTACCTTAAAAGAAAATCAGTTTTTCTTCTGCTATAACATTTTGATGTGTTATTGCTTTTTTGCTAGTAAATTGCTAAATGTTTAAAGCTGCTCCTTGATTTTAGAATCTCAGTTAACTGAGATGAAAAGTAAGTATATAGTATGATTAATGATGCAGTTAAATGTCAAATCACAGTTTGACATCTAACTGGCCCCTTTTCTCCAAAAATATCTTAGATCATCCATTTTAAATTTACAGTCAACGAAATAAACATAATTTTAAGCACCTGTTTTGTTCTATTTTGAAAGAAGTGTGTGTAACAAACTGGGGGCATGTGCATTTTCAATCTTGTTAGATAGACAGGATGCTAGAGGCGTTTGACATGTTTAACTTCCAAACTAAACAACTATTACAATTAACTGTGAAAATCAAGGCATAATTTCTCATGAAAGGGCTGGCTCTTTTTCTACAGCTTTCCTTTTCTATTTTTAAGAATTCAGTAAATGTGCAACCTGGCACATGAATAAGAACAATTAAAATTAGGGGGAAAAAAAGCCCAAATCAGTTCCAATTCATACCAGTAATTCAGTATGTTTCTTAAATAATCCAACCAAGGAGAATCATAAATGGTCCAGAAACATTTACTAACTAAAACTTAACATGCTTACCTTCTTTCTGAGTGGTGAACAAAGTTAAATGAAACAATTAGAACAAATGAAATAATGTTCATTCCTCTAGGACACGGGTGTCAAACTCGCTACGTCACATTGCCTTCACATGATGTTTTGCAATGATTTTCCCATGTGCAGAGCTGGGGTTGGTGTGGCCTGTATGAGACGCATCCGGCTCATGGATACCCCTGCTCTAGAAATAACAATGCCATTAGTGGTATCCCACCTGAATTATTATAGTAGATTTTTTTTAGCAAGCCTTCCTAACTCTGCTTTCGGTACACTGTGCAAGATACTTATTTGTGCTTCTAGATCTTTCCCAACCCATCCCTACTTCTCTCGCTCCTTTCATTGGTTGAGTTTTTAGAGGCATTATCACATCCAGCATTGGTTTAGACCAGGGGTCGCAAACCTTTTGGACCTCAGGGACCACCAAACTCATAATTTTAAATCCCAGGGACCACTAACCGGTTCTGTGGGCGTGGCCTAATTTGTGAGTGTGGCTTGGTGGTCATGTGACTGGCTTGGCAAGGCTTGTATGTAAATATTATAAATATTTATATAAATATTGAATTTTTTATAAAAAAGAGCAACTTTTACCCAAGATCAGGCAAAGCAAGCAGGCAGGCAGATTGAGTTGCTCACAGAATCACAGATTCATTCAGAAATCTTATCTATTTGCCATTGGCTAGCTCAGTCTATCACATAAAATTTGCTAGCAAGCAAACTCATAAAATTTACTAGCAAGCAAACTCACAAAATTAACTAACAACACACCATGTATGTAAATATTGATTTTTTTATAAAAAAAGAGCAACTTTTACCCAAAATCAGGCAAAGTAGGCAAGCAGATTGAGTTGCTCACAGAATCACAGATTCATTCAGAGATCTATTTTTTTATTTTTTAAAAAGAGCTACTTTTACCAAAAATCAGGCAAACCAGGCAGGCAGATATGTAAATATTGATTTTTTTATAAAAAAGAGCAACTTTTACCCAAAATCAGGCAAAGTAGGCAAGCAGATTGAGTTGCTCACAGAATCACAGATTCATTCAGAGATCTATCTGCCATCAGCTAGCTCAGTCTGTCACGTAAACTCTCAAAATTAACTCTCAAAATTAACTCACAACAAAGCAAACTCTCAAAATTAACTCACAACACACCATGTATGTAAATATTGAATTTTTTATTTTTAAAAAAGAGCTACTTTTACCAAAAATCAGGCAAACCAGGCAGGCAGATTGAGTTGCTCACAGAAGAATTCAGTAATCTATCTATCTACCATCAGCTAGCTCAGTCTCTCAAATTTGCTTGCTGTGAGTCTGCACTGAATAATAGAACCTTCAGTCCTAAGGGAGGTTCGGCTATGCTTAAAAGCAGAACTGAAGATCTAAAGACTAGCGAGAAAGCAAGAAATCCAACCATTTCCTGCTTCCTAGCTAATCTAAATCTCCTGGCACAGCAGAACAGCTGATGGTCTGAAAAAGGAAAAATAGCAATTTAGCAGGCAAGTTTGCCGGGTAAGGAGTGAGTGGGCGGGAAGGGTTCCCGCGGGCCATGTGGTCACGCAGCCTTGTGTTTCTGCGCAGCCTGGATTAATTGCTTTGGGGGGGTACTCTGGGGGTGATATTTCTCTGCGGCCCACCAAAATTTTCTCATAGCCCACCAGTGGGCCGCGACCCACTGGTTGGCGACCGCTGGTTTAGACTATTATTTTGTTAATTATGTAATTATTTTATTCAGAACTGATAATGCTAGTGCTTCTTGTAGTTTGTATTAAGATTACAGCAAGGCTAAGTGAAAAATATACAGTTAAAGAAAAACATTTAATTTGCAAGACTGTCCAAAATCTCTATTCCAAGTGCAGTCAGCTGAGGTCATATGTCTAAAATTATGCAATTCACTTCTAACCCTTTTTAATTCTATACATCTTGAATTTATTGCTTGAAAGCCAATGAAATATTTTTCATAACAAATATATTTGATAAATTCATGCTTATCCTTTTTCATTTATTGGAAAATGGAATTATTTCAGTCTTTAAAAATTTAAGAAGTAATTGAGCAGTATGCAAAGATTCTTAAAATTAAACATTACTTAGCTGTTTAATCAGCCCCTTTCTAATATATGTGCATGTGTGTGTGTGTACATGTATGTGTGTGTGTATATATCTATATCTATATATCTATATATATATATATGTTTTCTTAAGTTTTCGCGGGTACTTACATGTATAGTATTCAGCTTTGTTCGGGTATTTTCCCATGTCATTATACACAATACAACACAATACAGAAGCCTGATGATGGCAGATGAGATTCTGCCGAAACGTTGCTACAACTTTAAAAGCCCAACTACAATGACGTGGGAAAATACCCGAACAAAGCTGAATTATATATATATATATATATATATATATATATATATATATATATATACACACACACACACACACACACACACACACACACACATACATACATACATACATACACACACACACACACACACACACACACACAAATTTATGTATGTATAGGTATGCACGTGTATTATTTAGAATACATGTATACATTTATAATCTACTATCTCAAACATCTGTTTAGCAGAAGGGAATTGTAGAAATGAGAGCAATAAAAAGCTTAAATATGTATTCTAAAATAGCTGAACAGCAAAGTATTAACAGAATAATAAAATTGGAGAAGGAAATTGTTAAAAGCTTGGCAGAATAACGCCTTCAATTAAGGACAACAAGAGACTAGGCTAGCATTCTTAGGAGCAGTAAGATATTTCTGATATTTTATATTATTAATCAGTTCAAGGGATACTATGGTTTTTAAATTACATAAATATGATCTTGTTACTTGTGTTTTTGTACAAGATGAAATTTGAAACTTACTATCCACTATTACTGAATAAAGAGACTTGGCTGATTTCCCTCTAATAAAGTTAATGATTATTGCTACTTGCTGTGATGTCCATTGGGCAAAGGTCATAAGTCACTGTTGCAATCTGGCAAGAAGTTAAAAACAGCCTATCAAAGATTTTCAGAGACAAGGTGACAGGAAAGTGGTCACTTTCAGGTCAACTAACATTTGCAAGCCTAGATACAGGGGATTAAATTCTGAGAGATCCCAACATAAGCTAACAAAGAGAGCTTGGAATTAGCCCAGCAGCTATATTCAGCTGGATAATATAATCATCATTAATAGACCGATTTAAAATTACCACATACAGTTTCATGAAAGTCTGGCCAAAGCCCTCTATATCACCGTATACACCTTTAAACTGGTGGCATAGAATGAGGGAAGTTGTCTATGGAGATACTTAGTCATCCAGGTCGTGGTTGTCCCAAAGGTGCTTTTTCAAGAGGCAACTGGACTTTCTGGTTTTTCTTTGAAGATGTTTTGCTTCTCATCCAAAAAGTTTGAGAAGCGAAACGTCTTCAAAGAAAAATCAGAAAGTCCAATTGCCTTCTGAAAAAGCACCTTTGGGATAATGAGGGATGTTGTTACAAAAGATAAAGGCTGGCAATGAAATTTAGCAAAGAATGTTTTATTGTTTGCTCTGATTCTCTTGCATTGAAACTGCCAACCAGTATTAAATATATTGTCTATAGGTAGCCGTTTAATAACCTCTCTCATTCAGCAACTGTTACGATGGTGCTGAACAAGAAGTACTTACAAGGCCCTCAGAGTTCCTACAGTCCCAGCACTCATGAGTTTATGTGGTTGCAGTCTGGGCCTTGACAACTGGCCAGCACTTATGACAGTATCATATGATCACCATTTGCAACATTCTCTGCCTGCTTCTCTGAAGCAAAGCCAAATAGGAAGTCAGCCGGGCAGGTGGCAAGTCCCTCCACTAAGTTACAGGCAACTCATGCACCTTCCCCTGCCCTGCAGCAGCCACTTACTGGCTTGCTTGGGACTTACTTAATGATTCTTGCTTAATGCTGGCAATAGGAAATGCTGGGATTTCCATCACTAAACAGTATGATCTTACTTTGCAACTGCATTACTTAGTGATGGAAACCCCAGAAGTCCCCATTGCCATTATTAAGCAAGGATTACCTGTAATAATTGAATTCACAAAACACTGTTAAATCACTATTTAATGAAATATTTCAACAGTTAAAAGCTTCTGTGACTAATTTGTTTTTTTTCACTATGTTAATGAGAATTATTCTGGAGGACAAAAACAAATTCCATACCTAACTGCTAACTACCTTTGTTTGAGAGCAAAAATGAAATATAATCCTGCCATTTACTAGGTTAAGTGGACTACCCCATATAGTATTTCTGTTGTTTTCTTTTTCCTTTACTTCTTTGCCGTATCTTACCATCTTAATTTCCAGCTCTGAGAATGTTAAAATATAATATATAAAAATTGACATTTCATATTTGTAATTGAGCATTTGTTTGGCAACCTGCGATGATTCATAATAGCCTTCAGAACCATCTGCAGATCTACCATAGAGAGGCAAAAAGAGTGCAGAAACATCTGTGTGCTATAGTTAAACAAATAAGAAAATAGAGTAGCCCCCTATAGGAGTATTTTTATCTCATACTTACTCTATCTAGACTAGAGAGTAAAATAGAGAACATCTAAGCTCAGAGGTGATATTCAGCAGGTTCAGACCAGTTCTGGAGAACCGGTAGCAGAAATGTTGAGTAGTTCGGAGAGCTGGCAAATACCACCTCTGACTGGAGATTTTACAATATCCTTCCCCTGCCACGCCCACCAAGCCATGCCAACAGAACCGTTAGTAAAAAAAAATTGAACCCCACCACTGATCTAAACTGAAAAGATTTGAATGTAGAAATTATGCAACTGATCAGGGATGAGTGGGACAACTACTAATCATAAGCTGAAAGCTGAATAAGGATCCTTAGTTAGTTACTTAATTTTTTGAACCTAAGAATTTCAACCAGAAAACCAATTGTGCCTGTAATGGTTTCAGTCAGTTATCATTTAGTTTTTAGCTCTTATCTTACGTAAACATTATTAGTTCTGGATTGTGATTCTTGGGTATAGCTGAAATAAAATAGAAGGCATTCAGTTTTCTGCATCCATGAAATACTTTTGCAGATATATCTATCATTACTAGTATTATTGAATGAAATATTTTCTGTAATGTATTTCAGCTTTAATTTGAGTGAAGAGCTTAAAATTATGACATTTTCAGGTTAAATCTCTTTATATTGCAATAACATATACAGTATGTGTGTATGGTTGCATGCATATATGCACACACAAGCACATACCTATATACAAGCACATACCATTATATATCTTGGCAGTTTTGACTTTCTGAGAAGATAGTTGTTAAGTGTAACTTAAAAATAGAAAGCCAAAAAGCAGGTGACAAAATGTCGGGCAGGCAGTCCCTGGTAGAGTGACTGAATGAACACAGCATGCACACATGCACATCAGATGTCACAGATATGGTTCTATTTTTGTACCTGACTTTAGCAAAGGAAGAAAAAAGTATTTTTAAAAATGTTTAGTGCCATAATTACAAGCTTCACTTCATTATTACCAACTCATATATAAATATATAACAGCTTTAAATGGTTTAAATAACCATTTACTGCAATTTGGTTATTTGACAGTTATTTTGGCAGATTTTTGAGTGCTGAATGGGACTCTTCTGGAATCTTATCTGAAGTTTAGAAAGGATTTGTTTGCTGTTTCTCCCTTGGCCAAATAGAAGATTGTCTTGGTACCTTTTACATAAATGCCAAAACTGCTAGGTTAAGTGCTGGAAATTGTTTTTGGCAGGAGCGAAACAGTACATTTTTGGTAACATGTTTCGATTTCCTATTCAGAAGATAATATTCTTGCTTCGGGTTTCTTAATTTAAGCTAAATAATAATAATTTGTACATCTTTGGTGTTTGCGATAGGGAATAATAATTCCTGCTGAAAAAATTAGCCATTGCTATTGAGCTTACATTTACATTATTTTGCTTAAATCATTCTGGGAAAATATAGGAAAAGATAGGATAACACATTAAATTTTAAATGGTGTGGAATAAATTACTACTTCCATGCCTCCATGAATTCTTGTGAAGTGCAAGATGTTCTAAAACTGTTCTACTTAGAATATAACAAGTATCAGCCCTTATGGAGATTTTTATTGTTTCTTTCTTCCTTTTTATTTTTTAAAACATCAAGATTCTTCTGACTCAGCTTTACCTACAATTCTTATTGTAAAGGCTATAATTTATGGTATATTTTGTATTATAAGATGCTAAAAACCAGTTTTACTGATTTTAAAAGCGGATTATTTCCTATCGTACTGCACTTGTGTATAATTCATAACATACATTTCATTTTCTACATGGAAGAAGTAGTACCTTTTGTCATGTAGCAAAAAGTGAAGAATCTTCTTCAGCACTACATAAATTTAGAGGAAGAGTTTGGAGGAGCCTTCATGAAATTGAGTATGCACACCTTGTTGAAGTTATCACTTATAGGCTTCCTTCCCACCCTTGTTTAAAAGAGATTTCTGTGGTGAAGGTATCCTATAGTGCTTAAAGATTTTGGAAGCTTCTAGGGCTTCATATAGATTACCTTATATCCTTGTAACAATCTGCAAGGTACTTTACTATTCACATTCTTGCAATATAGATGGAGATATGAGATTCAAATAATGGAACAAACATGCTTTCAAGATATATAAAATTCAGATCAGAGACTCTGATATTTCCATTGTCTTTACCACAACGCAGTCTTGAGTGAATTAAAGAGGCTTGTAATAGTTTCCAGAAGCAGAAGATTTCATACACTCACAATCCAAGCTATTGTACACATATAAAATAGGCTTTGGCTTCTCTTGAGGAAGCATAAGCAAGTTATTTCTACTCACACTATCAGTAATCAGCTAAATAAACACTAAAGAGCTAATAGTTTGTTTTGACAACAAGGCAACAAGTATTTCTTCCCAAATTTCCCTATTGAATCAATGGGATAGAGTTGAGGGAACAAAATGTTAATTTTTCCTCCAAAGCACAATATTTAACATTAGGTACTGTTTCTCGTTACAGTTAATTAATTGAAAAGTGTGCTTTCTGTTAATCTAAAAATCAAATTCCAAGAATTAGAAATAAGAGCAGAACTATTTCCATTATAAAGAAACAATAAAAGGAGATTAACATGTTTAGGTTCATTTTTTTCTCAGACGGTTTGTTATCTTTTACCTTTAATGAACATAGCATATAGTAGTTATTATTATATATCTTGTATAGAAGATGAGATGGAACACATTTTGAGATGATTAACACTATTCATATCTGTTTGATTTTGAAATGCTAGTTTTTTAAAAAAATTAACTCGTATTAAACTTCTGTTTAATTTTTTTTAGGTCGTATGGGTATAAATTTTCATCATCCAGGAACAGATAACATTATGACACTCAATAGTAAGTTCATATCTTACTTTACTGCATTTTGTACAACTTGTATATTAAATATGGCTTTGCATTTATGCGTCCATTTTGATTACAAAGAAGGGAGTAGAAATAGATAATATAAAAGTCTTTGCACATCATTCAAAAGTCTATCATATTATTCCAAACTGAAGGGATTATTTTTAGAAGAAAGTTGATTGTAATATAAGTAGTCCTTGCCTTATAACATTTTGTTTAGTGACTGTTCAAAGTTACAATGGCACTGAAAAATGTGATTTATGACTGTTTTTCACACTTAACGATCAGGGGTGGGATTCTACCGGCTCAGACCAGTTTGGGCAACCGGATGTTAAAGTTACATCTGGTTCGCCAAACCGGTATTTCAACTGACTATCTGGCCCTGCCCACCCCACCCCTCCCTTCCCAGAAGTCTCCACGTGATGCAGGTAAGAGCAGAGTTCGCGTGGAGGTTCTGGAAGAGGGAAAAACGGGCCTTCTGGATGTCTGGAAACAGACCTATTTCCGGCTTCCAGAGGGCCTCCAAAGCCCGGGGGAGGCCGTTTTTCACCCTCCCAGAGGCCCGGGGGAAGCCTCCAGACCCTTGGGGGGGGGAAATGGCCTTACCAGAAGTGCAGAAATGGGCCTGTTCTGGCTTCTGGTGGGCCTCCAGAGCCTGGGGGAAGCTGTTTTTGCCTTTCCAGAGGCCTCTGGATCCTTGGCAGGGCAAAAACAGCTTCCTCCAGGCTCTGGAGGCCCACCGGAAGCCGAAAACAGGAAACCCACCCTGGCCATGCCCACCCAGCAACGGGGCAGTGAACCAGTTGCTGGGATTTTTGAATCCCACCCCTGCTTACAATTATTGCAACATGCCCATGGGCACATTTTCAAAATTCAGACAATTGGGAACTGACTTATATTTAGGACTGCTGCAGTGTTCCAGGGTTATGTGATCACCTTTTGCGACCATCTGACAAGCAAAGTCAATGAGGAAGCCAGATTCACTTAACAACTATGTTATTAACTTAATAACTGCAGTGTTTCACTTAACAACTATGGCAAGAAAGTTCATAAAATGAGACAAAACTCATTTAACAAATGTTTCACTTATCAACTGTAATGTTGGGCTCAATTGTGGTTGTAAGTCGAGGACTACCTGTATTGTGATTATAAAAATCTGTACAGTATATTGGAGAAAACTAAAATGTATGGTAAAGATCTTCAGGTTTTTGAGCTACTTAAAGTCACAGCCCCAAGTGCTCTGATCATTACTGGAACTACTGATTTTTACTTTCCATATCCTCTCTAATTCCTCCTTCAAGCTCTGGTACTACTCCAACTTTCCATATTCCTTCCTTATGTTGCTGTCACTTGGCACTGTTACATCTGTCACCATCCATCACAGCTACTTTCTGATTCCTATCTATTATTCCAATGTCTTGTTGAGTGGTCAGTACCTGCCTGTTCATCTGGATCTGGAAATTGAAATCTAGAAATCAGGATCTTAGCCCTATTATCTTCCATAACCTTCTATGGAATCCCTGTTCTAAATTAATCCATACACAGTACAGATGTTCCTATACACAATGCCATCTGGTTAGACTATTCAAATAAAAGGGCGGGACTAAAAGATAGCAGCACCAACCTACCAATATGTGGTAAGTTGTTGGACTGTCTCTGAGGGCTTTCTGGATAATCTGCACCTTGGATCCTGTCCAGTGTGGTGTACCCCTCCATATATGGATTTGGTACTTATTGCCTGTTCTTGTTGCTACCTTTTAGTCCAGCCCTCTCCAGGCACTTATAAGATTTCCCAAAGCACTCAATGACTAAACTATCTGTCAATGGTAAAATCCTATTCAGTGTCTTGTCTTACCACAGCTGTTCTTCTGTCCCATGGCTGCTGTTACCCGGGCATTCTCTTAGGCAACTCTTCTGTGGGTGGCATCCAGAAGTGGGATTCAGCCGGTTCGGGACCAGTTCAAATTAACCAGTTGTTAAAATTCTGCCCAGTTTGGCAAACCAGCTGGCCCCACTCCCACCCATTTTCTGGGCCGTTTTTGGCCATTTTTCAGGTGAAAAACAACCGAAAATAGCCTGAAAATGGCTCGAAAAACAGGGCAAAAAAGGAAGGAAGGAAGGAGATGGGAACGAGGAGAAGGAAGGAAGGAAGGAAGGAAGGAAGGAAGGAAGGAAGGAAGGAAGGAAGGAAGGAAGGAAGGAA